ATTGGTCAAATTGCTATATGTAGAGCTTGCTAAATTACATGCTAATAATATTTTAGCTTATAGTGTGTATCACAGACTGTCTTTAATTAGACAAACGGTATAAACCAGGAAGAGCCGGGAAGCTATTTCATTATAGTATGGGATGCTTCAGCATTGTAGTTCCAGAACCTCTACTGAAGATCGAATCTAGTATCTCCAGGTCTTATCACAAACTCTTAATCACTAGATATACAAAACACACTATATTTCGGTTCAATGATCCATAAATTAGGTGTAATCTACCGGATCGAAAGTCCTTGGTTCGATTCTAAGACGTATCGTGGTTGTTCACTGATGAGAAGTCTTTCAATAATACGAAACACTTTTTTACTGCTTTCTGGTCTTCATTACTTGTTTAAATAAGTTAAATCCCTTATTTAAAATATACAATTTAATAACTTCTACAAGTCCTTATATCAGCATATCCCTCCTGAAATAAATATGCGAAAGACATTTACAACATACAGTGTTATATTTGATAGCTGAAAGCTACATTAAAACTACAAGGGCGTTTATAATAATAATAATAATAATAATAATAATAATAATAATAGTAATAATAATCCAAGATGGTTACAAACAACATGGAAAATGGAAACTGTTCCAATAAAATAAATATTGATTGAATACACTAAAATCAGAAATCATCATTAAAAAGTTGTTAAAACGTTGTGGATTACAAACAGTAAATGAACTTTATATCATAGATTTATGTAAATATTTAGAATTATTACACAATAGATAAACATTACACACTATATGAATAATAACGGTTTACTGAATATTATTGTTTCAGTCTAATACAAACAACAACAACAACAAACAACAAACAAACATGAATCATCTAAAAAAAAAGAAAAACAAAAAGAAAAAGGAAATAAACATAAAAATAACAAAAGGATCCGAATTCTATCATTCAACTTATAGGGTGTTTAACCCTTCCAGTTTAAATGAAGAACATGATATAAAACAAAAAATATCTGATTTATGAAATGAGTTCGATCAAACAAAAAATATATTGAAAATCAATATGATTTTCCGATAAATTATCATAAATCATTAATTTAATAGAATGAGTATTGAATTCATTCATTAAAATCGATAATCAAAACTGATTTTTTTATAAATAACTTATTATACTACTTATAAATTTATTGATAGTTTATAAGCAGAAAAGAAATAACAATAATTATTAAAAAAATATATGGATTATTTATAAAAATGTTTAATTATCCAAAAATGTATTAGTGTAGTATAAATCTAATATAAATTTTTTAAGAAGAAATAGTAGTTAGATTAGATTCTATTGAAGATGATAATATATTGTTTAAAGATGATAAAGTTGTCTCTAAAATAGGTTGAATAGTATTTGTTTCATTTATTTCATTCAATGTTATATTCTGTTCATTATGTATCATTTCTGTTATTTCATTTATATAATTGATTGTTTGATTTAATTCATCGTTTATTTGATTAATCATATTTGTTGTCTCAATTACTTGATGTATTGTTTGTTGATCTATTTTATCAGTTGTATTATTCATTTCATGTATTGTAGTTTGTAAAGATTCATCTGTTGTACCTGTGTCTCCTCCACACATTGAATAGTGTACTAAAGACAATAATATAATCATTTTGATAATCATGATGAATACTTGAATACAAAACAATATGGTTCTAGTTCAAAAATATCATGCTTTATATATATACTAATGTGTTAGTGACTTTTTTGATGTATTACAGATTTTATGTGTAATTAAGATTATTAAAATTAGATTTTTATTAATATGATGGATAAGTTGAAACTATTGACCCAAATAGTAAGGTATATTACATACGCATGATTTAAAGAAACGTCATGGTAGTACTCAGCAATATGACGTGACAAAATAATATGATCATTATAAGTGTTACATAATAAAATTAATAAGGATTATGCTCAGCAGTTCAAAAAATCATTATGTGAATAGACAGAATAAAATAAATAAAATCAATAAAGTTATTAGAACGCTCTGTTTTCCTCGTCTACACGAAGAAGATGCTAATTTGCCTTAAACGAATATTTACACTAGATTGCCTTTCAGTGTCTATTCTACAGGAATTCAACACAACAGTAAAAGGCGGCCTGCTTGAGCATCTGGGCTACCTGTTCCTGTCATCTAGATATTTCAACAAGTTATCTATTTTTGTTTGTTTTAATATATCATTATGTTTATTAATCGCATAACCTATTCTGCTGCGTTTCTGAAAAGTGTACAACCTTTCGTTGTCAAAGTTATAAAAAGCTCAATAAGAGACAATGTGGTTGCTGGCAATACACAACGAAAAGAATGCACATTATTCAGATGTTCATTTAGTGAACTGCTAACATCTAACTGGCGATCACTCAATATTTATCTCCAGGACCGACCAAGAAGAAAGAAACGGAAACTTGTTGAAATACTTTGTGCTGAGAATTCTATATTGTACCAAAAATATAATATTGAATAAAGCTGATGATAATAATAATAATAATAATAATAATCAAGAACACGTAACTAGCCAGACTAGAACGTATGTATGTTTCCACACCAAAAACTGACAACAATCACAATAATAATATAGGTAGGAGAATATTTAACTCTAAAATCTGTCACATTATCTACAGATCAGACTAAGCAAACAATCAATCATTATTCTCGCCCAGACATTACCTCCGTCCTGAAGTTTGTTTGTATAAATTCACCTTTATGTGTAGCTTCTGATTACAACTCATTTCTTCTCATTTCAACTTGTGGTGATGATAGTAGTAGTAGTAGTAGTAGTAGTAGTAGTAGTAGTAGTAGTAGTAGTAGTAGTAGTAGTAGTAGTAGTAGTAGTAGTAGTAGTAGTAGTAGTAGTAGTAGTAGTAGTAGTAGTAGTAGTAGTAGTAGTAGTAGTAGTAGTAGTAGTAGTAGTAGTAGTAGTAGTAGTAGTAGTAGTAGTAGTAGTAGTAGTAGTAGTAGTAGTAGTAGTAGTAGTAGTAGTAGTAGTAGTAGTAGTAGTAGTAGTAGTAGTAGTAGTAGTAGTAGTAGTAGTAGTAGTAGTAGTAGTAGTAGTAGTAGTAGTAGTAGTAGTAGTAGTAGTGGAATATTAAATGTATCACATAGTATTTCCATTGGCAAAGGTTTGGTTTCAGTACGTTAAAAGCATGATGTAGACAGGACATTTAAAGACCGGAAGAGGAGATAATTTAAACTGCACAATACACCTCAAGTTCCAAATGTGTGATCGATAGATATGAATACATATCATATAAATTGGTTTTCTCACAACATATATTTTCCTAGTGCATTGCATTGTTTTACGGTAGTTGTATGATGGCTTGTTCATAAGCTTCTATGCGCCCTGTTATTTATAAGCCTAGTTTAGTTATTTTAGCTACAAAGAGATAAATTAATTATGTAATTTCAGATGAATATGCTAATTGAGCATATGTAGCCAAATTTAAAAAAATATACTAACAAATAAAAACGACAACCAATCGGCAAAAGTTTAAAGGGGAATTCCACATCATCACCAATATCTGAATTTAATACCTAACTTATCGTTGATATTCTCTGTCGTGTATATACAAAGAGAAAAGGGAGTTAATAATCAACATCAAAATAGAATAGAGAGAGCAAAATGATGGAAATATTTCTCTTATCAAACGGTTCATAGTTGAATCTGTTTCAACCTCCACAATCGTCAACTCACATTCAGATAAATTTCAAATTTTAACTAATCACTTATCAATACAATACAATAAAATGCGTGTGGCCAGAAACATTCACTACACTCTGCGGTTGTGTGGCATTTTGACAATGTGTGACCTCTGAATTGGTCTAACATTAACACATCATTAAGTGACAGATGACATGATTATTAACTTCATTTGGTTTGTTTATTTCTTATTTATTTTACCTGTTCGTTGTTAATGTAAAGCTTAGACTTATCAAGCAGTAAGTGACGAAATCATGTGTTAATATCAACGTGAATCAACCAGTAATCGATCTCAAAAATTACCAAATCGAAGCCATCATCATTTATTGTTTTACTACTTAGTATCAGATGAAACAAACAAAAGTAATTCATCTACAAAGATATCGGTAGAAGGAATATAATATGCAGGAGATGCGTAGAATTATAATTTATTATTAATATAGTTCAAATTTCAAATGACTTATACTAAAGTATTTAGGTTTTCAAATCGACCCCACATTTATACATCCGTCCAATTCCTTTGATGGAATGGATAAGTTTAAATGAAGATGCATTCGGAACCACGTGTCCAGAGTTGATTAGATGCTCATATATTGAATTATTGTATGTTTCGTCACAATCATAGACAATTTATTCACAGTGATCTCCAGTGACATTGACATGACTCTCAGTGCTACTCATTCCTGAAATGAACGCTCAATGTATTTGGCTAGTTAATACAAAATGATATTCATTCCTCCCGAGTATTGCCACAGTAAACACTTTGATTTAATCACAATGAGTAGAAATTGACAGCTTCTGACCACCATAATTATTCAACTGATCCATTTGAAACTTGTCAAGCCTATCCACCAAATGTATATCATTCATCGATGTGAATAGACACAGATTGACGCATTGTGATGACTAACCGAAATTGATGCTCTGTCAAATTATTCATTATGGTTGAATCAAAGTGGACAGGTGGAAATGAAAGACAGTTTGGTCACTCAATACATTTTTAATGATCACTTATTTACTACATGAAAAATATCAAACGAAAATTGTAATAGCATGATCAATTGTTGACTCCATTTTAAACTTATAATCACATGAACTCTATGCCGAATCACGAACAATGTTAACAGAGTAATATAAATATGCTTTGAAATCTCTCTGATAGAATTATACACATTCATTATTCTGTATTCACAATGATTATCAAGGCGATTGTATTGTTGTGTTTGACACAATATCTGATGTGTGAAGTGGCGATGATGTCGACACCAGCATCTTCAAACATTGCATCAGACAAAGTGAGTGAAGTGGAAGATATGGTGACAGATGATGGAGAAGATTCAAAATCAGATGATAATGATGAAAATTTCTTTGATAAGCTTATTATGGTTATCATCATGTCTTTTGAATACCTATTTCCGGACCTGATGAAAACAACTCCTAGTCTTAATACAACTATGGGTGTATAAAATGAGCTTCATGAAGTTCATGGCATTAGATTACTTGGATTGAGCAAACATAATCATGTACTGTGTGTTTTTAAATACATTGATAAATCATTCGTATAAATAAACTGATTTCAATATTCACTAATGATCTGTACTACTCTTGTATACAACATATCAGTCAGTTGATGAGAAATAAATGTTAGTTTGTCAAATAGTCTTCATTACTAAAATATGCTATGGTGAATGCACTCATATGTTAGTAATATCAATAGTTTTGTGTGAATGACTGACTTACTGTGACCTACCTACCTATTATTATTATTACTACTTATGTTATTATGATTATTATTATTGTTATTATGATACTTACTATAAAGGTGCATTATACTATCCTTCTACTCAATAGTCTCATTAAGACAACAAATACAATAGATTTCTTGTGTTATTCTTGTATATTCGACTGGAGTATTTCTGTAGGTTTCACTTGCAATTGCTTTCTTGTCCAGCCACTTTCAGCCTGTTCCGCATCAACACCATTATTCCATTTGGATCGAGAGATGTTGACAATGCTTCATCTCAACTATCACATTATTTATGTTGTTATGCATATTATGCATTTTACTTCCAAATCCGATCTTCACATTTTCACGTGAATTATATAAGCTCTGTGAAATCTTCATAACAATCGATACGAGTTTCGATCTGTTTAGTTTAATCTATTTTAACTAGACTACAGAGAAGTGGATCATGTTCAATAATGTGAAAGATGGATGCATAGAGCATGAATATGCGAAAATTGAATTTGTATTGAATACTTATGAATGGATTAGATATTAGGATTAGACATTGATTTGACGACTAGTATGTGTGTACTATGTGATGAGTATTATATTGATTTGTTCAAATGAAATGGACATAGTTATTAAGCTGATTGGATTTGTTTTAGTTGTGTGATCACGAGGTGACACTGAATGATGAGTGAGTAGATGAGCGCAATCGAGTAATCGTGAAGTATGATTGTATACTAATTAAATTGTTATTTGTTACTTGTTACCCAATACAGAGTTTTAGTTCATCGAATTTACGATGTTGGATTCAACCTTGAGTACCAAATATGTAGGCATTTAATATAGCAAATCAAAATAGAAGATGCAAATGGACTATTGAAATTTATGTATATTTATAACGTGAATGTTTGTTAACTTCTCGTAAGCAATATACTTTCCTACCACCTATTGTCTTCTCTACAATAGCATAAGATGCATGGTCACTTGTAATAGTTGAGTGTGTAGCTGAAGCATTCATATTATTGTGCTACCAGCGAAATTATTATAATGGTGGTAAGAACGTATGAGCTGAAAACAACCATTAATATCAGTAAATGCATCACTTCTTACTGAAATAATGTTTAGTAATAGTCAGCTGGTATGAATGTAGTCGATTCTTGGCCAGTCGAATTTGTCAGTGTAAGACTAGAAGAATAAATAAATATTCTAATTCTTCTCGTACATTTAACCTGGATAGGTTAACTACCTATTATAAGAAACTGGTGGATTACGTGTTTTTTTGCTCCAACCTATAGTAGGAATCAATATCCTTTGTTGCTCTAGTGATTTTGTCTCAATCGTTTCAGCATGCGTTGTTATGAAGATATATTGTCACATGCTTTGGACGGAATATTGAATTTATTTATCACCGAATAGCGTTAGTAGAATGTTACTGCTTCGTTACTAAGTTAGTGATATAGTACTTTCGTTCAACATGATACGCTAATTACTTTGAATGTTTACTTATCACTACACAGAAATAGTTGATAATTATCTTAGAACTACCACAAAACTAATTTAGGATGAACATTTTGAATTTTGTTGTCTTTTGTAGTGTTAAACAAACAAAAAAACACACGAGAAGTTCTGTCTTTCATAATCAATTACTTTATATTTGATACGAAGTCACAAATATATTATTCACTAACTGTGTAAGTAGCTTTAGTGTGCAGTCCAAAGTGTATCAGATCAACTATGAGACCATAATATTCATTCCTTAATCCAAGTTTCTGTTCTTACACACTGATAAGAAGGACAAGACGAAGGAAATCAAATTTAAGAGTATAAACTTGTGATAGCCATATCTATCAATGCATGCAAACCATCATAGATACACTTGAGTAGATGAATTTTTAAGTGTGTCAATTTCCTTGACTTAGTTCAATTCTTGTCTTCGAGTTGAGTAGTGTTGAATGTCACTTCACAGATGGGAGATCTACGTTTACAATTATTCATTAATGTTAGCTTTGTGACTTTCAATTGCAGACGTTTATTCCGATTGACTAATGAAAAGATTGACTCATATTGTATGTTGATAGATTCTGTGAAATTATATATCTTATTCATCAATTGTTTTCACTGGAAATCACTTTGCAACCATTGAATCACTTCTACTGTCCTGCAGTAATAACAGTCAATAACAATACAATAATCTGATCTTCATTAGCCACAAATATTAATCTCTGTGTCATGTGATAAACGTAGAATTCTGATAAATTCTATGTAATTACATGTAATCCCTTAGTGATAAATCTGCTCACTCTTCCTACCTACGTTTCCAACTGTTCGACAATCTTTTGTGCATGACATTAGTCTACTTAATAATATTCAGTAGGCAATATCACTGTTCGTGATTTTGGAAATGTAGATTGGCATATGGTTCTGTTATTGTGTCGAGCTCATAAGCATTCCAAAAAATTTGTAACATTCAGTTTGCCTAACATTGTAATTGTACCTTCTTAACACCTGTAGCAATTGGTTCTAACATTTGTGCATTCATTCATCTATTTTTTTAAGTGTAACACTTGCCCTAAATTGTGTACGTGGTTCTCACACCAACAGCGTAATTTGCATCTACCAACATGGTTCAGAGCAACAGTCAATGATTTGATAAACTCTTTTGATATGACCACCTGTAACTCTCTTCCAGTCCACACTCAACACTGATTGTTACATTTCACATCGTCTTGATTCAAAAATTAATTTACATGCTAATCCTTTGAATCATTTATGCCCGTCTTTTAAGTGAGATTCTATTAAAACATTTTACTTTATTCTTTATATTATGTATAATGAGCATTGACTAGTTTAATGCCTCAATTCTATGCACCTTCAGTGTTGAAGCTTGAAAATTAAACATTTTAACGTACTTAGTAGATGTTGTTTTTTATTAGATCAATATTTAGTTGTATCCACTAAGTGTTCTGTAGGACTAGACGATTTCTCACGCTGGCGTACCATTGACGGATAAGATAAAAAAAACTTCGGCATTGGGCCACATCGATATGTAACTTTAAAAGTGCTTGCTCATGTGGGACAGGTTACATTGGCTGCACAAAGCGATCACTTTCCAAACGCACCCCGGAACATTTTTTGTCGTTGCTTTTTAAAAGAGAATGTAAAACTCATGAGCTTATGAAGTCCCAAGTTATTAGGTAGTGATCAGAGTCCGTAAGTATGGTATGTAACATATGCCATCAAAACGTAAAGTGTTATGTCTCAAACAACAGCGTATATCTGTCCATTATCATTACAACCCATCCTTATTTTTGTATCAGTTCAGTTCGCCAAAAAAGTTTCTATTTCTTTTATTTTTTCAACATGCTTTTTATCATTCACTTATCATATTTGTATTCTTTTTGAACATTTGCAACTTCTGGACTGAGAAAAATGAATATATCATAACTATTCATCAATCATTTCAACAATTACTTTATTAAGATCGCGAGTACAGGTGAGTTAGAAAACCTCTGTAAATCAGAAAGTACTAGGCATTGGAGTCTTTACCAAAGCATACACAAGACCCCATCAAGGTCATGGCCCAAGACCTTCAGGTATCGATTCCAGGAATTAACCTTTAGATCACCAAGTCGAGATCTAATGGTTTATGTGTCAAACTACAATCAATTAACGACAGTGAGCAATCACCTTCCTTTTTACTCTATAGCTTATACAAGAAATGGTTGAATTCGAATGATCACTGCTTCTCATTTGAACGTGGCCAGTATCTTTTCTGACTTAGTCATTAGTTAGCTCATGATAATTATCAGTATGCGGGTTTGTTAAAATTGTTCAATGTGATTGAGATCATGAATCGAATTAAGCTAAATAACCAGTGAAAACCAGGAAGCATTGCTCATTCAACAATCTCCACAAACGTTCCAAATTGATAACCACCTCATTCATTGATACCATTAACTCAAACGTATAGAAATAAATAAATTTTCTTTACATTATTCCATGTTGCATATCTGAAAATAGTTCAATTAACAAGTAATATAAACATTTCGAAGCATGTAACTAAATTCTATTAGATTTTATTTTCCTTATATATTGTGATGTTTATTTGACAGGATGCCAAATTTATTGTTTGTTTTTTTCACAAAATTTCATCACAATTACTTACGATTATTTCACTAAAACTAATACAACACCTATGAAATTGCATTTACCCTGTACAATCTCTATCCTAATAATATAGATATGTGTTACGATTTTCGATATGGTTCGATTAATATCCCCCCACCACTAACAAAATAACAATACGATTATTTGATACATTTAATGATAATATAAAGGTTATATGAAATTCGAATTATTCCACTTTGTTATGGATTCTACTGACATCGATATGATTTTCCTTTCAAACTTTATCAGTAAAATATCAGTGAGTTTGTCGACGGACTGAAACTAGAAAAGTGTATGTTGTCTTGTAACTTATATACATAGATCGTTCAATCTAAGGTAGATATGAATACGAAGAAACTACTTACTCAAAGATTAATGAAAAATATAGAAAATACCATGAATATTGATGTGGTGTGGTAGTGTGTGGTTTGTGCTAATGATGTCGACAGATATAAGTAGTATGTATGATCAATCGAAAGTGAAACGTCTGGCGGCATAAGGTTAAGAAGATCGAAGGAATGCGAGCGAGAACAGGGAATGATTAGTGTGGAAACAAAGGATCAATGA